TAGGAACCACGTATCAAGCATCTGAGTGCAAATCGGGGGACCGCGGGGGGGGGGCGTTGCAACGGGACGCTAAACAGGAAGAAGCGTCACAAGCCTCCCTTTTCGGCGCCGTTGTAACTTCGGACGGTCACTAAACGAACAGTCGTAAGTCTCCGACTGCCCGATTTCCTTGTTTTTCTGTCGCTGCTTCTGTTGCCGAGAGGACTCTGGCTGCGCACAAGTCCGCCCCCCCCCCTTTCCAAACAGGCTTGGCATTCTGTCAAGGAGCAGCCCCCCCCCCTCTTATCCAGGGAGGTCTCTTCCCAGACAGCAGAAGAAGAAGCCCCCCCCCTTGTTCCCCCCCCCCAGTGATCTCAGGCTGAATCACATCTGAGCCTTTCCTCTCCCGTCTGCCTGGTGTCTCTCAACAGCTCGGGACAGGCCCCCAAGTCAGCTCATCCCCTGACAAATCGCTTCCTGATGTTGGACTGGACAATAAAAAGCAAAGCAGCAGACAGGGAGATTAATCAGAAGCAGAGAGGGAGGAGGGAGAAAGAAGGAGGAAGAGAGAGAGAGAGAGAGAAAGAGGGGGAGAGAGAGAGGCAGAAAGAGAGAGAAAGAGATAAGGAGGGACAAAGATAGAGAGAAAGAGGGAGGGAAAGAGGAAGAGAGAGAGAGAGAGAGAGAAAGAGGGGGGGAGAGAGAGGCAGAAAGAGAGGCAGAAAGAGAGAGAAAGAGATAGGGAGGGACAAAGATAGAGAGAGAAAGAGGGAGGGGAAGAAAAAGAGGGAGAGAAAGAGAAGAGAAAAAGAGAGACAGAAAGACAAAGAAAAAGATAGGGAGGGACAGAGATAGAGGGAAAGAGAAAGGGAGAGAGGGAGAGAGAGGCAGAAAGAGAGAAAGGGAGGGAAAGAAGGAGAGAGAGAGAGGCAGAAAGAGAAAGAGATAGGAAAGTACAAAGATAGAGAGAGAAAGAGGGAGGGAAAGAGAAAGAGGAAGAGAAGAGAAAAAGAGAGAAAGACAAAGAGAAAGACAGGGAGGGACAGAGATAGAGAGAGGGAAAGAGAAAGGGGGAGAGGGAGAGAGAGGCAGAGAGAGAGAGAGAAAAGGTGGGAAAGAGAAAGGGGGAGAGAGAGAGAGGCAGAAAGAGAAAGAGATAGGAAAGGACAAAGAGAGAGAAAGATGGAGGGAAAGAGAAAGAGGAAGAGAAAGAGAAGAGAAAAAGAGAGACAGAAAGACAAAGAGAAAGATAGGGAGGGACAGAGATAGAGGGAAAGAGAAAGGGAGAGAGGGAGAGAGAGGCAGAAAGAGAGAAAGGGAGGGAAAGAGAAAGGGAGAGAGAGAGAGGCAGAAAGAGAAAGAGATAGGAAAGGACAAAGAGAGAGAAAGATGGAGGGAAAGAGAAAGAGGAAGAGGAAGAGAAAGAGAAGAGAAAAAGAGAGACAGAAAGACAAAGAGAAAGATAGGGAGGGAGAGATAGAGAGAGGGAAAGAGAAAGGGGGAGAGGGAGAGAGAGGCAGAAAGAGAGAAAGAGAGAAAGGGAGGGAAAGAGAAAGGGGGAGAGACAGAGGCAGAAAGAGAGAAAGAGACAGGGAGGGACAAAGACAGAGAGAAAGAGGGAAGGAAGAGAAAGAGGGAGAGAAAGAGAAGAGAAAAAGAGAGACAGAAAGACAGAAAGATACGGAGGGACAGAGATAGAGAGAGGGAAAGAGAAAGGGGGAGAGGGAGAGAGAGGCAGAAAGAGAGAGCGAGATAAAGGGAGGGAGAAAGATAGAGAAAGAGAGAGGGAAAGAGAAAGAGGGAAAGAAAGAGAAGAGAAAAAGAGAGGGGGGGAAGATAGAAGGAGGGAGGGAGGGAGGAAGGAGGGAGAATGAAAGAAAGAGAAAAGGATAAGACAGAAAGAAAGAGAGAAAAAGAGAAAGACAAAAAGAGACAGAGAGAAAGAGAGAAAGAAAAAGCGAGAAAGACAGAGACAGAGAGCGAGAGAGAGAAAGAAAGAGAGAAAAAGACAGAAAGATGGATGGACTTCAATTTCCAGAATTCCCTAAATAGGATGTTTTAAAGTGTTTGGACTTTAATTCCCAGAATTCCACAGCTAGGAATCTTTACGATATGCAGACTTCAACTCCCAGAATTCCCCAGCCAGCAATCTTTTAAGATGGGTGGACTTCAACTCCCAGAATTCCCCAGCCAGACTGAATTCATGAGTTGAAGTCCAGACATCTTAAATTAGCCAAGGTTAAAAAAACAAAACAAAAAAATAACTTTCTTTGGCAAGGATCTTCAAACTTGGCCCTTGCATGACTTGTGGACTTCAACTCCCAGAATTCCTCAGCCAGGCACGCTGGCTGAGGAATTCTGGGAGTTGAAGTCCATTCCTCTTAAAGTCTATATCGGGGGCTGGCTGAGGAATTCTGGGAGTTGAAGTCCACAAGTCATCAAAGGGCCAAGTTTGAAGACCCCCGCTCTGTGGGAAGGATGTCAGCTTTTTTAGCAATGTGGGTGACTTCCAAAGAAGAGGGGAAAATATCCGTTCCCAGAATCCCCCAGCCAGCCTGCTCTTCGGCCTCTCTTTCCCACCAACTCTGTTTCTTTGGGTGGATCGTGCACGGAAGAGGAGCTAAACGGTTGATTTTAGAGGTTTCTGCACAACTGAGGGGAGTTCGCTGGATCCGTCGCAGGATTGGGCGTTAATTTGGGGGTCAGTCCATTGCTTTTCACAGACATATATTTATATTTGGTCTGCCCAGATGTTATTGCAAGCTAAACCAATTTCCTTTCCTCGCTGGCAAACAAACCGCAGCCTTCTCGGAAAGCTGCCCCCAAGTTGCTCTGCCTTCCACCCCCCCAAACTCCTATCTAGGGAAAGAGAATAACCCACATTCCAGCTTTGTCAAAACAAGCCATGGGTGGGCGTGGGGTGGTTTGATATATATATATATTTCTTTTTAAGGGGAAAAAAATAGAACAAAAGGTTGGGTTTGATTCTTTCCCAGAACCTGGGATGTAAATGGGAGCAAAAGGGTGGGGCCACCCAGGATAGAGAAGAACCTCCACAATCAAGCGCAGTCAACCTCGGGACGGCTGCAACTCCGGGCCCAGCCTTGAACGATCGATTCAAATTAATTAGGTTCTTCATGTAAATCCATCGATCAATAAACAATTTAAAATTGAACTTGTGCAATTCAACAACAAACAACATCTGACAGATGCTCACAAGCGCACTTACTGGTTTCTTTCCAGGACCAGAACAAGTTGCTTGCCCTCCACTGTCACTGCTACCTCTCCATGATCAGGGGACGGAGCCTGCATTTTAAAAAGAGAGTGAGAGAAAAAAAGATTAAAATTGTAAGTACAGCTCTGCTGCTTGGCACAAAGAATAGAATAGAATAGAATAGAATAGAATAGAATAGAATAGAATAGAATAGAATAGAATAGAATAGAATAGAATAGAATAGAATAGAATAGAATATAGAATATAGAATATAGAATAGAATTAGAATAGAATATAGAATATAGAATAGAATTAGAATAGAATATAGAATATAGAATAGAATAGAATAGAATAGAATAGAATAGAATAGAATAGAATAGAATAGAATAGAATATGGAATGGAATATAGAAAATAGAATATAGAAAATAGAAAATAGAGTAGAGTAGAGTAGGGTTGGGTAGGGTAGAACAGAGTAGAGCAGAGTAGAACAGAACAGAACGGAATGGAACGGAGTGGAATGGAATGGAATGATAGAATAGAATAGAATAGAATAGAATAGAATAGAATAGAATAGAATAGAATAGAATAGAATAGAGTAGCGTAGAGTAGAGTAGAATAGAACAGTGGAGTAGAGTGGAGTAGAGTGGAATGGAATGATAAAATGAATGATATAGAGTAGAGTAGAGTAGAGTAGAGTAGAGTGTAGAACGGAGTGGAGTGGAGTGGAGTAGAGTAGAGTAGAGTAGAGTAGAGTAGAGAAGAGTATATAGTAGAACAGAGTAGAGTAGAACAGAGTAGGGTAGAGTGGAGTGGAGTAAAGTAGAGTGGAGTGGAAAGGAATGGAATGAAATGATGGAATGGAATGAATAGAATAGAATAGAATGGAACGGAACGGAACAGAATAGAATAGAATAGAATAGAATAGAATAGAATAGAATAACAGAGTTGGAAGGGACCTTGGAGGTCATCTAGTCCAACCCCCTGCTCAGGCAAGAAACCCTACACCATTTCGGACAAATGGCTGTCCAGTCCCTTCTTAAAAACTTCCAGTGTTGGAGCATTCACCGTTTCTGGAGGCAGGCTGTTCCACAGGTTAATTGTTCTCACTGTCAGGAAGTTTCTCCTTAGTTCTAGGTTGCTTCTCTCTTTGGTTAGTTTCCATCCGCTGCTTCTCGTCCTGCCTTCAGTAATGACTGACTCCAAAGCACAGCTAGTCCTCAACTTAGCAGCAGTTCATTTAGTGACCGTTCAAAGTTACAACATCCCTAAAAAGAGAGACGTACGACCCTTTTTCCTACTTACGACTGTTGCAGCATCCCCGTGGTCATGTGATATACGTTGGGATGCTCGGCAACTGGTTATGACGGTCGCAGCATCCCGGGGGGGAGGGGTCACGTTCTCCCGCTTTTTCCCCCTTCTGACGAGCAACTCAACGGGGGAGAGCCAGATCCACTTAACATCCGTGTTCCCAGCTGAACAGCTGCCCTGATTTACATAACGACGGTGGCGAGCAAAGTCGTAAAAGGGGGCAAAATTTCACTTAGCAAGTGTCTCACCTAGTGACAAAAACGTGGTCGTATCCCCAGGACTAACCTGCACCCAGCTTTTTGCTAGAGGCATTTTCTCAATTTGCAAACCGAGCAGAGACAGATCTCTGGAAAATGGCATTTTTAAAAAAGAAGGTAAGGATGATTTTATTGGCAACGGAATGGAATGAATAAGGAATAAGGAATAGAATAGAATAGAATAGAATAGAACAGAACAGAACAGAACAGAACAGAACAGAATAGAATAGGAAAATGGCAGATTCCCAGATTCCGCAAAGGAAGACTTGTGACGCGCGGTTTAATTTGGAGGAAGAAAACAACCGGTGTTTACGAATGCTACTTGATGTTCACAATGTTCCTGGATGCAGAGAGCATCCCTGAGCACCACCAACGAGCAGTCAGAAGCCACGACGACAACTCCTTAATTGCACAAACCGTGGAGAGGCTTCACCATAGTTTCAACTTGGAAGCTGTGAGCATCCCAGACGAAGCCAAGTTCCCAAAACACGGCTAGAGAATTCCTAGAAGCTTGGCAGTCAGACAAGTTGGCTGTCAACGGGCGTGTAGAGATCAACAACGTTTACACACCATTCAAGGGAGACAATCAAACGGCTGGAAAGGAAACAAAAAGGACCGAAACATTTTCTTGCCAGCAAATCAGCGCCCAGATAAGCAGAGAGGAACACCCAAATTAACACGAGATCAACAGTCAAGAAGTAAAGAAAACTCCAATCAAGCAACTACCGACTCGGATAAACGATCGGACATAAAGAACAGCCTAATAAAATAACCACCAAAGAACATTCATGCTAACAAGGACACAGCAGCTGATTGCGTACAAACAGAGAGAAAAAAACCCCTCCCTTCTAGCAGTCATGAAACATCTGCTAGAAAAAATCAAGGACCCCACAGTCCTCCTCCTCCTCCTCCTCTTCCTCCTCCTCCTCTTCCTCCTCCACCTCCCGTCTAGATGTTAGCTAGTTGGATCATGAAACATCTGCAAGAAAACCACCCAGCTCAGAAAGCACCAAGGACCCCCCAGTCCTCCTCCTCCTCCTCCTCTCCTCCTCCTCCTCCTCCTCCTCCTCCTCCTCCTCCTCTCCCTTCTAACACTGATGATGTTACCTAGCTGGGTCATGAAATGTCTGCAAGAAAACTACCAAACTCAGAGAACACCAAGGGACCCCACAGTCCTCCTCCTCTCCCTTTCCCTTCCCCTCTTCCTCCTCCTCCTCCTCCTCCTTCTCCTCTTCCTTCTCTTCCTCCTCCTCCTCCTTCTCCTCCTCCTCCCACTGAACACATTACCTACTAGGGTAATGAAACATCTGCAAGAAAACCACCAAAGTCCAAGAACCCCAGGACCCCACAGTCTTTCCTCCTCCTCCTCCTCCTCCTCCTCCTCCTCCTCCTCCTCCTCCTCCTCCTCCTCCTCCTCCTCCTCCTCCTCCTCCCTTCTAGATGATGCTACCTAGTTGGATCATGAAACGTCTGCAAGAAAAACACCCAGCTCAGAGGGCATCCAGGTTCCCCCATAGAAAGAAGGTTTTCTCCTGCCATACAGACTGAGTGAAGAGACTCCGAAGATGCTCATCCACCGCCACCCTCTCCCTCCCACAGAAGCTGCAAACAGCCTTTGCGATGTAAATTCCGTGCTCAATTGCGGTCGTACGTCGAGAACCACCTGTCCTGTCACAATGCCTCCCGTCTAACGCACCTCAAAATAGCCCATCCCACAATGTAGCCCAAATGGATTATTGCGTTAACCCAGGGCAGAGGTAGGCCACCTTGGCTCTTTTATGACTCGTGGACTTCAACTCCCAGAATTCCTGAGCCAGCCTGGCTCAGCTTGGAAGCCTCTCCCTTTCCCCTCAGCATGGCTGGCTCAGGAATTCTGGGAGTTGAAGTCCACGAGTCATAAAAGAGCCAAGGTTGCCTACCTCTGGCCTAGGCTGCTTTATGACTCGTGGACTTCAACTCCCAGAATTCCTGAGCCAGCATGGGGAACTGCGGCCTCTATGATTTGTGGACTTCAACTCCCAGAATTCCTGAGCCAGCCATGTTGAGGGGACAGGGAGAGGTTTCCAAGCTGAGCCATGCTGGCTGAGGAATTCTGGGAGTTGAAGTCTACCAGTCATAAAAGAGCCAAGGTTGCCTACCCCTGACCCAGGGTTTAAATTGGAGCTCCTCCAATTTTCTGGTGGTTTTGGCCCAGAGAGAAAGGGAGGAGCAGGGAAATGTACATGTGAATGTGTGCGCGCACACACACACATACCAGCATGCATGCACAAAAGGGGCGCATGCACAACGGTGGCACCGGTGAAGGCACTAGCCCCCCCAAGCCTGCGCAAACATGCCACTAGCACCTGCACGGCAGCGCTAGTGCCAGCTATTCTCACGGCCTGGTGGCCAACAGGCCACAGACCGGTACCGGGCCACGGCCCACAAGTTGGGGACCTCTGCCCTAAATGGCCGACAAGGAACAATGCTGGGTTTGCCAGTGCTGTGACACCACAAAATAACCCCCCGCCCCACAAAAGGTCACACAAAGCCAGCAGTCGGAGCAACTTGGTTTTCGCATTCCCTTGGCTGCCCAAAGACATTTTTCCAAATTTCCCCAGCGAATGCGGGTTTCTTTCGCGCAACGACACACATCTTAGCCAAGAGAACTTTCCAACGGACAATACAAAGAAGGCAAACATTCCGGAGAAATGCACGGCAACGGCACTCCTCCTTCGCTCTGCTTTCCCAGGGGCTGCCTTGGTCAGCTGAACAAAGGAGAAAAATGTGGTGTGACCTTTCGTGGCGTCTCCAAGCCAGATTGGAGAACATAAAATAAAAATAAAAATAAAATAAATAATAAAATGAAAATAAAAAATAAATAAAGATAAAATGAAAACTAAACTAAACTAAACTAAATAAAACAGAACAGACTAAAAATAATGAAATAAAAGATAAAATAAATGAAAATAATAATAAATAATGAAATAAAAAATAAAACAAATAATAAAATAATAAAATAAAAATAAATAACAAAATGAAAACTAAACTAAAATAAAATAAAAATAAATGATAAAATGAAAGCTAAAATGAAACAAAAAATAAAAATATAATATAAAATAAAATAATATAAAAGAAAAATAAAATAAAAATAAGACAAATAAATAATAAAATAAAAATAAATAAGATAAAATGAAAACTAAACTAAAATAAAATAAATAAAACAGAACAGACTAAAAATAATGAAATAAAAGATAAAATAAAATAATAATAAAAAAATAAAATAAATAATAAATAAAATAAAAATAAATAACAAAATGAAAACTAAACTAAATGATAAAATGAAAGCTAAAATGAAACAAAAAATAAAAATAAAATATAAAATAATAACATAAAATAAAAATAAAATAAATAATAAAATAAAATAAAAATAAATAAGATAAAATGAAAAGTAAAATAAAATAAATAAAATAGAATAGAATAAAAATAATAAAATAAAAGATAAAATAAAATAATAAAAAATAAAATAAATAATAAAATAAATTAAAATAATAAATTAAAATATGAAATAAAATAAAATCCAACTCTGCAAAATATTGCCTGGATGGCCTGTGGATGCCTGAAGCTGGAGTCTAAGATTGGAAACAGCCAAAAAAAAAAAAAAAAAAAAGCCTCGGAGCAACTTAAATAAACTCTGCAGGAGGCTGCGGCAGCTGGAAACTCGCACCCAGGCCCCTTTAGCACAAATTGTTTGTTTTTGGTTCAATTTGGCCTTTCTTGGGTTACTGCTGACTTCCTCCTGGCGACTGTGAGGTTTGCAGCTCCCAAGAATCCCTCCCAGATTCCCAGAAGCGAGGCGGGAACGGAGCAGAGCCCGGCAGCCCCTGCAGCCTTAAAAGGAGGGAAGGGCCGTTTTCTCTCGACCCCGGAGTCCTCTACAAACAGCTGGTCATTTTCCCCCTCGTCACCCACCCCAATTCCACGGTCCACCCCACCCTATAGATCAGGGGGTTTTAGGCAACTTTAAGATGGATGGACGTGATTTCCCAGAATTCCCCAGGCTAGCACAAGGACTTGAAGGCTAAACATACTGGCCGGGGAATTCTGGGAGTTGAAGTCAATACACACTGGCCAGGGAATTCTGGGAGTTGAAGTCCCCACACACCTACATACTGTGCAAAAGAGACAAATGGCAAGTCAAAAAGGGAACCAAACGACCAAAAAACACCTCCCCATCAGCAATCAACCCCCAGATGAGGCCGTGCCCGTCATAAATACGAGTCAGTGGCCCAGCGGCTGGATTTTGATCCCGTGACCCCGTGACCCACAGGGGAGACTGCAACGGTTGGGTGAAAAACGGTCCTAAGTCTCTTCTTTCCCCAAAGCGACCTTGTGACTTTGAATGGTCACTCAAGGAACGGTCGTAAAGTGAGGACTGCCCGGACTCCGGACAGGAGGTGGTCCGGCCAAGAGGAAGCGAGCCGGAGCTGGTCCCTTTGCAAAGACCCAACATCCAGGGAATTTTGTCCCTGGCTTCCAGGGCTACGGGCATCTGTGTTGGCACCCAGATCCGGCAGGACAGGCTCCAGATTGCTGGCTGCCAGCTTCGCCCTGCTCGGCCTCCGAGGCCGGGCTGCGGCAGCCCCACTTGGCAGCCGTGGAAGAGGTCGAGCGTGGGGCAGGCTGGCCAAGCCGCTCCTCCCAGCCCCAGCCCGAAGGAGGAATGCCCGGCATGGGGTGGAGGTGCCAAGCGCAAAATAAAGCCACGTTCCCTGCTACCCGCTCTCGGCAGCCTAAATATAGACGCTGAAACAGCACACAGCTGGCTGGATGGACCTGGCGGGCAGCGTCTCTCTGCTCTGGGAGGCAGTCAGAGCACTACACAACTGGAAGGAGAGCAACAACTTTTGTGGCTGTTCTGGGTGCATCAGAGAGAGAGGGGGGGGGAGAAAGAGGGGGGGGGGAGAGAAAGCAGGTGGGAAAGAGAGAGAGAAAGAGAACCAGACAGAGAGAGAAAGAAAGTGAGTGAGTGAGAGAGAGAGAGAGAGAGAGAGAGAGAGAGAGAGAGAGAGAAAGGAAAGAGAAAGGGGGAAAGAGAGAGACAGAACAAAAGAGAGAAAGAACGAGACAGAGAGAAAGAGAACGAAACAGAGAAATAAAAGAGAGAGACAAAAAGAAAGAGAAAGAAAAAAGAAAAAGGAGAGAGAAAGAGAGGGGGAAGAGAAAGAGAGAAAGAGAACCAGACACAGAGAGAAAGAAAGTGAGAGAGGAGAGAGAGAAGGGGGGGAAGAGAAAGGTGGAAAGAGAGACAGAACAAAAGAGAGAGAAAGAGAACGACAGAGAAATAAAAGAGAGACAAAAAAAGAGAACGAAAGAGAAAGAAAAAAGAAAAAGAATAAGAGAGAAAGAGAGGGGGAAGAGAGAGAATGAGAAACAGAAACAGAGAGAGAGAGAAAGGAGGGAGAGAGGAAGAGAGACAGAAAGAGAGAGGGAGAAGAGAAAGAAAGAGAAGAGGGGAAGAGAAAAGGGAGAGAGAAAGAAAGAGAGAAAGAAGAGAGAAAAAAGAGAGAGGAAGGAAGGAAGGAAGGAAGGAAGGAAGGAAGGAAGGAAGGAAGGAAGGAAGGAAGGAAGGAAGGAAGGAAAAGAGGGACAAAGAACGAGAGAGAATTTCATTCCAGACTAAAATTGGTCCAAGGGGATAGGAGCAGAGTCAACAGTTCAAAAGGGGAACAAGGAAGATTTTGGACAACAGTTCACACACACACACACACACACACACACACACACACACACCTCTTTTAGAGGCTTACACGTCTTTCAGATGCTCCTTATCTTCATCTCCACCCTGCGCGCAATTATAACACGCTCCCCCAACACCCCAGCCCTGAGTCTGCAGGCCGCAAACTCACTGGACAACGGCCTTGCTTAGCGACGGAAACGTGACACTGCGCTGCGGCTGTAAGTCAAGGACGGCCTGGCCAGGAAGAGCGTCTGGGCTCCTCACACACTGGCAAGGAACACAGTAGCCGCTTTTCCAAAAAAGACATTTTAATCGCGAAGAGCTTTCGACGCTAGAGGCCTCTCCACTCTCCTGCAGCTGGAAAACAGCTGTTTGCAGGGCCAGCTCAGAAGACTTAAGGCGAACAAAGGGGTCTCTATCAAGGGAAGACCCCCCCCAACCCCAGCCAAACAGCTGAAATCACATACCCCTACTCAACACTCATCTCTTCCCCGCTGGAGTCAAAACTCCTCCGAAAATTGAACGGCTTCTGTATCTATAAAGGTGGTCCTCAACTTACGACCAAATTTTCCTGTGTTAAGTGAGATGTCGGTTCGGTGGATTTGGCCCCAATTGACCCCCTTCCTTGCCGCAGTTTGCTAAGTGAAGTTGGTAATCATGGTTGTTAAATGAATCCAGTTTCCCCCCCCCCTTTCTCTTTGCTTGTCGCCAAAGGGGATCGCGTGATCCTGGAGACGCAGCGACCGTCGTAAATAGGAGTCCGTGGCCAAGCGTCTGAATTTTGGTCCCGGGACCCCGGGGATGCTGCAACGGTCGTGAGGGTGAAAAAACGGTCCTAAGTCCCTTTTTTCAGGGCCATTTTAACTTTGAATGGACACTAAGGGAAACCGTCGTAAGTCAAGGACTACCTGTGGTTTTTTTTTCCCCCTTTTCCTTTTTTTGGGAGAGAATTCGAATCGTCCTCGGTCCGTGAAGACTTCTAATCTTCTTGGGGTCTTCTTACCTAGATCTGGAGAACTTGTGTCCGTCACTAAAGCGGGTCTCAGGAGCTTGTTTCAGGGGTCTTCGAACTTAGCCCTTTGATGACTTGTGGACTTCAACTCCCAGAATTCCACAGCCAAGCACGCTGGCTGAGGAATTCTAGGAGTTGAAGTCCACTCCCCTTAAAGCAGTGGTTCTCAACCTTTTTAATGCCGTGACCCCCAACTGGTCGTAAGTCGAGGACTACTCAATCGGTCGTAAGTCGAGGACTACTCAACTGGTGCAGCACCGTTTGCAGAATGGGACTTTTGGCGGGCTCAGCAGGGCAGAGACAGCCTGGACAATTCCTATTGGCTTTTGAAAGCCAATAGAATTAGACTCTATTCAAGAGAATCTCTTCTATTGGCTTTCAAAAGCCAATAGAATAAAAGGGAGTAGCACAGCCAAGGAAAAGGGGGAAAAAATGGCGGACTGCATTGTTTGGCGACCCCCGTGAAATGGTCGTTTGACCCCAAATGGGGTCCCGACCCACAGGTTGAGAACCGCTGCCTTAAAGTCTATATCAGGGGTCTTCAAACTTGGCCCTTTGATGACTTGTGGATTTCAACTCCCAGAATTCCTCAGCCAGCCTCCATTTTGTTTGTTAGATTTAAGACACAAGTCTTCAAACTTGGCCCTTTGATGATTTGTGGACTTCAACTCCCAGAATTCCTCAGCCGGGCATGCTGGCTGAGGAATTCTGGGAGTTGAAGTCCACAAGTCATCAAAGGGCCAAGTTTGAAGACCCCTGTGCTATTTGGTCGCCAACCCTGGTCAAACTCTGTCTGGGATGAGAAACTAAGCAGGGTCAGACCTACAGACAGTCCTCGTTTTACGGCCGTAACTCAGCCCCAAATTTCTGCCGCTAAGTGAAACATTGGTTGAGTGACTTTTGTCCCGTTTTACGAACTTTCCTGCCACGGTTGTTAAGTGAATCACTGCAGAGGTTAAGTCAGTAACAACGGTTGTTAAGTGGACTTTGCTCGCAAAAGGGGATCGCACGACTCCGGGCCACTGCAACCGTCAAAAATACGAGTCAGTTGCCACGTTTGTGAATCTCGGTCACGTGGATGCTGGAAAGGTCCTAAGGCAGTGGTTCTCAACCTGTGGGTCGGGACCCCATTTGGGGTCGAACGACCATTTCACGGGGGTCGTCAAACAATGCAGTCTGCCATTTTTTCCCCTCTTTTCCTTAGCTGTGCTACTCCCTTTTATTCTATTGGCTTTTGAAAGCCAATAGAATAGACTCTCTTGAATAGAGTCTAATTCTATTGGCTTTCAAAAGCCAATAGGAATTGTCTAGGCTGTCTCTGCCCTGGGTGAGCCCGCCAAAAGTCCCATTCTGCAAACGGTGCTGCACCAGTGGAGTAGTCCTCGATTTACGACCAGTTGAGTAGTCCTCGACTTACGACCGGTTGGGGGTCGCGGCATTAAAAAGGTTGAGAACCACTGTCCTAAGGCATAAAATGGGTCCTAAGTTACTTTTTTTTCAAAACTGGCCACTGTAACGTCAGTCACTAAATAAAAAGCAATAAGTGGAGGACTTCATTTTCCTGGGAAGGCAGAAAACCAGGGTTGAAACTGTAAAAGGAGGATGTTTTTGTGGGCCGTGAAGTCACTGGACCGTCCAGTTTGGTTCCAAGCAGACACAAAATTTAGATTTTTAAGCTGGCAGCTTAACGGGAAGGATGTTGGGGTTAGGGTTACAACTGGCCAAGATTAAATCAGGATCTAATCAAAGCCAGGCGAGCATCGATGGTCCGGGCCAATCTTTTTACCTTTTCTGCCCCCTCAATTGCTCGTCGGCTCCGTCGTCCGGAAATCCAGCGGGGAGTGACAAGTTCTCCTTGCGGTGGCAACTCTGAAAATGAACAACAAGAAGAGAAAAAAAAATTACAAAATGGAGGAACAGGAAATCGATGTGCGAATCATCCCCCCCCCAAAAAAAGAGAAGAGAAACAACCTAAAATAAAAATTCAATTTATTATTTGAAATATAAAACAATCTCTACCAAAAGCTGGGGTTTTTTTTTTCACACCAGCAATGGTCAACAGGACATCTACGGCAAAAAGACCCTTGGTCACACCCAAGTGATGTGGAATATCCCTGCTTCCCATAAGGATGATTCCCGTTAGGATAATTCCTATAAGGATGATTCCCATAAGGATAATTCCCATAAAGCAGTGGTTCTCAACCTTTTTAATGCCGCGACCCCCAATCGGTCGTAAGTCGAGGACTACTCAACCGGTCGTAAGTCGAGGACTACTCAACTGGTGCACCACCGTTTGCAGAATGGGACTTTTGGCAGGCTCAGCAGGGCAGAGACACCCTGGACAATTCCTATTGGCTTTTGAAAGCCAATAGAATTAGACTCTATTCAAGAGAGTCTATTCTATTGGCTTTCAAAAGCCAATAGAATAAAAGGGAGTAGCACAGCTAAGAAAAAGAGGGGAAAAAATGGCAGACTGCATTGTTTGGCGACCCGCGTGAAATGGTCATTCGACCCCAAATGGGGTCTTGACCCACAGGTTGAGAACCACTGCCATAAAGATAATTCCTGTTAGGATAATTCCCAAGCTGAGGGACCGAGCAAGTGGGTTGCGTTGTGGGATCAAAGCTGGATCGGCCTATTGTATGAACTCAGCTCTGACTAGGTTTTGCGGGTGTCCTGGGTTGATTTGACAGGTCAAGCTCAGCTACAGACCACAATGAGTGTATTGTGGGATCAAACCTGGGTCAGCCTGTCGTGTGAACCCAGCTCTAACTGGGAGTGGACTGCAGGGATGTCCTTGACAGGTTCAGCGGCTGCTGATCCTCAGAAGTTGCAGAGTGAGGAACAGAAGAAAAGAACGTTCCTGTTTGGTTGGGTTGGGACGCCACAGGGCCACCACCCTTCCTGCCGTTGTGGACAACATGGATGTGGGTGTTTGCAGCAGGCGGCAATCTTCAAAGATTAAACCAGATTGGGTGGCTTTCACCTTAGAGAGGAAACCAGAAACAAATCAAACAGAGAAGGTCACGTTGAGAAGACAAACCACCTCTCGGATGAAGGAGAACCACTTCCACCTTCTGAGGAACCTCTTCTGAGCTCTGAAGAATTGGGTGGCTTTTACTTTAGAGAGAAAACCAGAAGCAACTCGAACGGAGAAGGTCTCATTGAGAAGACAAACCACCTCTCGGATGAAGGAGAACCACTTCCACCTTCTGAGGAACCTCTTCTGAGGTTCTGGAAAATTGGGTGGCTTTCACCTTAGAGAAGAAACCAGAAGCAAATCAAACGGAGAAGGTCTTGTTGAGAAGACAAATCACCTCTCGGATGAAGAAGAACCACTTCCATCTTCTGAGGAACCTCTTCTAACCTTCTGGAGAATTGGTCTTTCTAGGCTCATGTTCTCGTGAGGGAGAGAGAGAGTTGATGGGGGCTGCTTTGCCCCGGACCTCTTTCTACCTTTGATGTTTTCCTGGTTCTCCCCTCTTCCCAGTTTCAGGAAGTGTCCCGGTCTTTCTTTAAAAGGGTGGGCTTCTCCAGAGCATGTGGCCAGCTCCATTTCCAAATGGCTGAGGGGAGACTGGACGATGGGGCATCATTTGTCCTGGTCGAGATGATGCCACTTGCTAAGCCACCCCAAATAAACCGAAGGTGATTTAGCACACATATGCAACACAAACTGTGCACTTGCATCTAGTGGTGAAGGCCCCAGGCTAGAAACTGGGAGACGGTGAGTTCTAGTCCTGCCTTATGCATAAAAACTGGCTGGGTGACTTTGGGCCGATCCCCAGGAGACGGTGAATTCTAGTCCTGCCTTAGGCATGAAAGCCAGGTAGGTGACTCTGGGCCCATCACCAGGAGACCGTGAGTTCTAGTTCCGCCATAGGCATGAAAGCCAGCTGGGTGACTTTGGGCCAATCACCAGGAGTCGGTGAGTTCTAGTCCCACTGTAAGCATGAAAGCTGGCTGGGTGACTTTGGGCCAATCACTGGGAGACGGTGAGTTCTAGTCCTGGCTTAGGAATGAAAGCCAGCTGGGTGATTTTGAGCCAGTCACCAGGAGACAATGAATTATAGTCCCGCCTTAAGCATGAAAACTGGCTGGATGACTTTGGGCCGATCCCCAGGAGACGGCGAGTTCTAGTCCTGCCTTAGGCATGAAAGCCAGCTGGGTGACTTTGGGCCAATCCCCAGGAGACGGTGAGTTCTAGTCCTGCCTTAGGCATAAAAATTGGCTGGGTGACTTTGGGCCCATCCCCAGGAGACGGTGAGTTTCTCTGGTTTCATGGAATAGTGAGACGTCCAGGAGGCTGCAGGGACCTCTGGACCTTCAAGGAATCTTCGGTCCACTCTGTCACCCAAGCAGTGCAACCACAGCCCGCCTCGGTTGCCCCAAGGTCCCCAATTTCTCTTCTCCTTCGAAAGGACACTTGAAACCAACTGTGGTCAGGCAAGGAGAAGCAGGAGGAGAAAACGAGAAGTGAGATGTTCCTCAAAGTTCCTGTCTCAGTTTTGGAAGGTCCCTTCTGGACTGGGTGGGTGGGGTGTTGGAAGGGGTCCTTGGTCACACCTGGCCGGACAAGAGCCCTGCTTGGCTCCCCAACAGGACTGGGGAGGGCTAGTCCAGACCTCTCCTCTCCCCAATGGTGGCCATTCTCCATGGACAAGGCCAGGAATAGGCAACCTTGGCAACTTTAAGACTTGTGGACTTCAACTCCCAGAATTCCTGAGCCAGCCATGCTGAGGGGAAAGGGAGAGGTTTCCAAGCTGAGCCAGGCTGGCTCAGAAATTCTGGGAATTGAAGTCCACCAGTCACAAAAGAGCCAAGGTTGCCCACCCCTGGCCTAGGCCCCTTCATGACTGGTGGACTTCAACTCCCAGAATTCCTGAGCCAGCATGGCTCAGCTTGGAAACCTCTCCCTTTCCGCTCAGCATGGCTGGCTCTGGAATTCTGGGAATTGAAGTCCACGAGTCATAAAAGAGCCAAGGTTGCCTACCCCTGGGCTAGGCCTTGGGGGCTTCCCCCACTCGTATCCCCCACTCTTTCCGAGGTTTTTGGCCAGCCCATGGCCTGCTTCTCTGCTCTTCTGGCTTGACTGGAAAGAGAATTCTTCCCAGAATTCCTGGCCGGAACGCAGCAGGGAATTCTGGGATTTCTCTTCCCAAATCCATCAAGGATGTGGTTTGGGAAAACAGGCATCAAACAATTGTTAAGTGCTGTTTGCTCATGTCCATTTTTCTTCTTTCCCTTCGTTCCATCTTTCTTTCCGTCTTTCTCCTTCCTTCCATCTCTCCCTCCCTTTCTACTTCCTTCTCTTCTTCTTTCCCTCTCTCCCTCCTTCATTCTTCTCTTCTTCTCCTTCCTTTCCTTCCCCTTCATCATTCCTCTTCCTCCTCCCTTTCTTTCTTCCTTCTTTCCTTTTTCGTCCCTCCCTCTTTCGCCTTCCTATTTTCCTCCTCTCCTTCTTCTTTCCTCCTCTCCTTCCTTCCTCCTTCCATCCCTTTCTCATTTCATTTTTCCCACTCTTAGTTCCTTCCTTTCTTCCTCCCTCCTTCTCCTTCCTCCTTCCCCCCTCCTTTCTTCCTTTCTCCTCTCCTCTCCTCCCTCCATCTTTCTCCTCTCTCTTCATCCTTCCTCCCTTTCTCCTTCCTCCCTTTCTCTTTCCCTCTCCTTCTTTGCCCCTCCTTCTTTCTTCCTTTCTCCTCTCCTCTCCTCCCTCCCTCCCTTTCTTCCTTCGTCCCTCCCTTTCTCCTTCCTTTCTTCCTCCTCTCCTTCCTTCCTCCTCCCATACTTTTCATTTCATTCTTCCTACTCTCCTCATAGTTCTTCTTTCTTCCTCCCTCCTTCCTTCCTCCCACCCTTTCTTCCTGCCTTCCTTCCTTCCTTTTTTTTTATTATGTGTTTTATTTTCTCTGCTCCTTGAGGGCGACAGATAAGTTCTTGGAGATGGTGTCATCTTTATAAATAACCGCTGCATTTCCCCATCGTTCAAAAGGGCTACGGTTTCCTGCAAAGGGGGCAGCTGGGATGAGAAAACTCAGCTATTTTGCTGTTCGTCCTCACCAGCCTCTTCTCGGCAACCGACACCCCCAGCGCACAACGTCCACCAAACCGAGAAGGCAACTTCTGCTGACTTGCTCCAAAACTTCACCTCGCTGCAAAGTTTTCATAAAGGGGGGGGGGGAGAAACCACTCACTAACAGGAAGCTTGAAAAAGAGGGAAAAAAAACAGCCTTTCCTGCTTGATCTCCGTCTTGAGGTTCTTCTTTTTCCGCAACGTGATTAAATCTCAAAAAGGCAGAGGGTGTCTTTGCGAGTCAGCGCCTTCTCCCGCCCAGCACGTTTAGAAGACAACAGAGCTGGAAGGGACCTGGGAGATCATCTAGTCCAGGGCTTTTCAACCAGTGGTACGGATACCACCTTTGGTACATTGGCACCTGGCAGGTGGTACGCAACCATCCTAGAAAAGGGGTAGCAGGGAGGGGAATGAGCTGAACCGGTGGCAGCACCACACAAGCCTGAGCGAGAGACGGCTGGAGCTGCAGGGCTGTCAGGGCTCAGCAGAAGCCCCAGGATCAGTGCCGCTTTCCAGCTGATCGGCGCTTCTTCGGGGCTGTCAGGGCTCAGCAGAAGCGCCAGGATCAGCGCCAGGCTCCAGCTGGACCTCAGCGCTGATCCTGGGGCTTCTGCTGAGCCCAGAAGAAGCGCCGATCAGCTGGAATGTTGCAGCCTCTCCAGGGTCTTGTGATTTACATTCAGCTGCTTGGCCACTGATTCATATTTATGACGGTCACAGCGTCCCAGGGTCATGTGAAGGGACCAAAACCTGCTGCAACCACCCAGCCGACGGGGGGGGGGGGAATAAAAACCAAACACCCCCCACCCCACCCCTGCTACCAATCCCCAACAGAAATGCTCACAACAATGAAAACCTCGGACAGGAGGAAGAGCGCAGCCAGGCAGGCAGGCAGGTGTCTTGCTCGGCTGTGGCTTAGGGGGCCCTTTTTTCAGTGCCATTGTAACTTTGAACAAGTCACTAAGCGAACTGTTGTAAGTCGAGGACTACCTGTACTTTATCACTTTTTTCCTTTTTTTTTTGGTCATCAAGTTTTTGACACCTTGCTAGGCGACTGGTGGTCCTCGGATGTTGCCCTATCCTAAAAGTGGGATAATGGGTGAAAAGGTTGAAAAGCTCTGTTCTAGTCCAACCCCCTTGCTCACGCAGGAGACCCTCTGCCATTTTAGATAACTGGCTGCCCAGTCTCTTCTTGAAAACCTCCAGTGATTAGGGAGGGAGGGTGGGAGGAAAAAAGAATAGCAGAATAATAGAATAAGAGAGTTGGAAGGGACCTTGGAGGTCATCTAGTCCAACCCCCTGCTCAGGCAGGAAACCCTGTACCATTTCAGATAACTGGCTGTCCAGTCTCTTCTTAAAAACCTCCGATGATCTCTGCAGAGACTGCAGCTGCCCTCTGCCCATGCTCTGAAGCACTCCGGAAAGCTTCGCCCCTCCCTAAGGAAAAACAAGGCCCGCAGACTGCGCACGCAGGCAGTCCTCGACTTACGACAATTATACCAAACATTTCCGCTGCTAAGCAAGACGGCGGCGAACTTCGCCCCGCTTTATGACTTTTCTTGCCACAGTTGTTAAGCGAATCACAGCAGCTGTTAAGTTAGGAAGACGGTCGTTAAGCGAATCTGGCTCCCCCCCCCGACTTTGTTTGTTGGAAGGTCGCAAAAGAGGATCACGTGAACTTGGGACACTGCAACCGTCGTAAGTACATGCCAATTGCCAAGCATCTTGAATTTTGGTCACGTGACCCTAAGGATGCTGCAACGGTCGTTAAGTGGGAGGTCACAAGTCCCTTTTTTCTGTTGTAACTTCAGTCACTAAATGAATGGTTATAAGTCAAGGACTACCAGTACTTGGTGGGCAGAAAACCAGGGTTGAACCTCCATGAGAAGGACAATTTTGGGGAGGGACCATGATCACGTGATCCTGGGGAGGCTGCAACCGTCCTTAAGTGTGAAAAACCTTTTCCAGAGTCTTAACTTTGAACGGTCGCTAAAGGAAGGGTTGTAAGTCAAGTCAAGCTCTTCTCCAAAGCGCCTGAAGGCAGGACAAGAAGCAATGGGTGGAAACTAATCAAGGAGAGAAGCAACCTACAGTAGAACTGAGGAGAAACTTCCTGACAGAACAATTAACCAGTGGAACTGCTTGCCACCAGAAGTTGTGGGTGCTCCATTACTGGAAGTTTTTAAGAAGAGACTGGACAGCCATTTGTCTGAAATGGTATAGGATTTCCTGCCTGAGCGGGGGGGTGGATTAGATGACCTCCAAGGTCCCTTCCAACTTTTTGTTGTTGTTGTTGTTATTATTATATTATTATGGATCATCGCACAGTCAGCCAGATGTTCAGACTGGATTTGGCATTTTTGTCTACCTATCGAGTCCTTCCCAAGGACCTGGGATAGGCAGAGGTGGTGTTTGATGGTATTACAGATCTTGTCGCAGGATGGAAGCAGTTCCTAGTAAGGCTGCCTTTTGCAATTGACTAATGGCGAATTTGTCAATGCCGATGATGGTGTTCATGTGGTGCTCCAGTTGTTTTGGGATTGCACCCAAGGCGCCTATTACTATTGGTTCTACCCTTGCTTGCCTTTGCCACAGTCTTTGTAGGTCTTTGTATTTTGTTATCTTCTCCAGTTCTTTCTCGTCTATTCTGCTGTCTCCAGGCACGTCCATGTTCACTCTCCAGATTTTAGGTGCTTGTTGTTGTTGTTATTGTTATTATTGTTGTTGTTGTTATATTATTATTATTGTTATTATTATTATTATTATTGTTGTTGTTGTTGTTATTGTTATTATTATTACCTATATATATTTACTACCTATACATATTAACAGCTACCGCAAAACATTGCCAGCTCAATTAAACCTCGTGGGAAAAGGACAGAAATTCAAAAGCTAAACTTTAGACACGCTTGGGATAAACTCTTGTTCTCTCGTCCCGCAAAAAAAAATATTTTCTTAAAAAAAAAATAGATGCCTCGCTAAATAAAAAGAATTAAAAAATAAATAAATTTAAAACAAAAAAAAAACTAAACAAAAGCAAACAGAGCAAAACAAAAACCCCACCCTCAGTGGGCAAACTCCATAGACTGGGGGTGTGTGTGTGTGTGTCTTTTTTCTGCTTTTTCGGCTTTTCTCCACTTTCTCTGTCTGTCTCAAGAGCAGAAACGGTCAGAAAGAGGGATGGTGCTAAAACATCTGCAGCAGCTGTCGGGAGAGGTGGGGTTGGATTTATGGCTGTTTCTCTTCCCCCCCCCTCTTCCCCCCCCTCCCACCAGTTAGCTTTCCGAAAAACACACACGGAGGGAGCCGGGAGCGAATCACGCTGCCCTGCATCATGGGTCAGGAAGAGGCTGGCTTGACCTGCTTTTTGCATCCCAACTAGACCATATAGAGGCATGGTGGAGCCCGGCCAGATCCTAAAGAGAGGGAAGGAAGGGAGGAAGGAAGGAATGTCTCCGGGAGAAGAATAGCAGCAGCAAAAGAAACACTTCCAAGGCTTGGTATAAAATCCCAGCCAAAGTCTTTCTCCCATCTTTTTACTCTTTCTTTCTCTTTCTTTCTTTCTTTCTTTCTTTCTTTCTTTCTTTCTTTCTTTCTTTCTTTCTTTCTCTCTCTCTCTCTCTCTTTCTCTTCCTTCCCTCTCCTTCCGTCCTTTTTTCTTTTTCTTTCTTTCTTTTCTTTCTCTCTCTTCTTTCTTTTTTCTTTTTTCTCTTTCTTTCTTTCTTTCTTTCTTCCCTCTCCTTCCTTCCTTCCTTCCTTTTTTTCTTTCTTTCTCTCTCTCTCTTTCTTCTTTCTTGCTTTTTCTCTCTTTCTTTCCTTTTTCCCTCTCCTTCCTTCCTTTTTTCTCTTTCTTTCTTTCTTTCCTTTCTCTCTTTCTTCTTTCTTTCTTTTTCTCTTTTGCATCTCTCCCTCTTTCTTTTTCTCTTTTTTTCTTTCTCTCTCTTTCTTTTTCTTTCTTTCTTCCCTCTCCTTCCTTCCTTTTTTCTTTCTTTCTTTCTCTCTCTTCTTTTTCTTTTTCTCTTTCTTTCTTTCTTTTTTCCCTCTCCTTCCTTTTTTCTTTTTCTTCTCTTTCTTTCTTTCTCTTTTTCCTTCCTTCCTTCTTTCCTTCCTTCCTCTTTTTCTTTCTCTCTCTCTCTGTCTCTCTTTCTTTTTCTTTCTTCGTCCTTCCTTCCTTCCTTTTTTTTCTTTTTCTTGCTTGCTTGTGGATTTTGGGGTGCTTCGCATGGGCAAAGGCCAGTTTGGGCAGCAAAGCTTCTCTCTTTTGTCTGCCACTGGAGACTTTTTTCCACCCATCAGTGGGGCCTTGGCAAAAAGGCAAAGCACCCCCCCCCCTCCAAAACAATTCTGCATTTTCTCTGTGGGAATTTGGGGGTGCTTGGACTTTTTTTGCACCAGAGGAAAAAGTCTCCAGTGGCAGACCAACTTTTAGGAGAAGTTTTGCTGCTCAAGAGTGGCCTTTGACAAATAGGAAGTGTCTCAAAATTCCCAGAGGAAATGCAGAATTTTGGGGAGGGAGGGAGGGAGCTGGGACAGCCCCTGTCCCCAAAACCTGGATAAGCCCCCACCCCAAACTATCTCTAAGGTCACTGCACTGCCTTTAAAATGAAATCTGTGTTTTGCCGTTGGGAGGGGGGCGGCGAGTGCAAGCAAGAGACCCAGAAGCCAGATTTGGCCTGGGGGGGGGGGACGAGTCTAAAGGGTGACAGCTTCGGTCGGGGCACGGCACCCCCACATTTCAAACTCTGTGCTGCTGGGGAGGGGGAATCCTGGGGAGGGGGACAGAAGGAGCCCCCCCCCTTCCAGGTTTTAGAGATGTTCCTAAAGTTTCAGCTCAGTTTGGGAAGGGCTGGGAGGGGGGGGGATGTTGGAAGGGGTCCTTGGTCACAGGACTCCTGCTCAGCTGCCCAACGGGGCTTGGGGGGGCAGTCCAGTCCCCCCCTCCCCCCAAAATAGCTGACCCCTCTTCCAGGGCTGCTTGGAGTTGCTGAGGGTCATGGCCTCCAGCTTTTTTTTGGGGGGGGGGGTTGAGTCAAAGGGCAAAGCTATGAACGCCCTCTTCCCTGGATGGGAGCCTCCCCCGGTAGCGGCTGTGCACGATGGGCTTGGGCGTCCAGCGCTTCCAGAAAGGCTGTGAGCGATTCCTTCTTTCGACGCAGAAAGGGAAAGTCCCACTTTCTCCCACGGCCGGAGCGGGGCAGCCCCTCCCCAACGCGACCCCCGCCCCAAGGGAAGCGCCCACCGAAGCCCCCCCCCCCGCTTACCTGCAGCCTCGGCGGCGCCCAGCAGCCCCAGCAGCAGCAGCAGCAGCGCCAGCAGCGGGCGGCGTCCGGCGGGCGGACCCCGGGGCGCCCGGCCAGCCGCCCCCTCCATGCCGCGGGGCTCCTCGGCGGAGCCGCTCCTGCCCGGCCGTCTTGCAGCCGCCGCCGCCGCCGCCGCCGCTGCCCCGTCGTAACCAGAACCACATGGCTGCCCCGCCCCTCGCCCCGCCCCCTGAGCCCCCGCCCCTCCCACCCAGCCGGCCCGCGAGGCTCCAGCCCCGCGATGGGGGGGGGGGTTGGTGGGAGGGGGCAGCTGCTGCGGGCGGGCCGCGGGGCGCCGGGGCCGGAGGAGAGCCGCCTCCGGGAGCAGCGCTGCTTCTCCCCGGCCTGGAGGGCTTGGCGGCCGGAGCCGCCCCATGACCCGGGATGGCCGGGCTCCGGAGGGACGGAGGGAGGGAGGGAGAGGGAGTGGATGGGCCGAGCGAGTAAGTAGAGGGATGGATGAAAGAGAGAGAGGGATAGATAGAAAGATAGGTGGTGAGAAAGAGAGAGATGGATGGATGGATGGATGGATGGAGAGAGAGAGAAAGAGAGAGATTAGATAAGATATAGATGATATAGGATATAGATAGATAGATAGATAGATGGATGGATGGATGGATGGATGGATGGAGGGAGAGAGAGAGGGAGGGAGGGAGGGAGGGAGATTTAGACAAACAGATGGACAGATGGATAGACAGATAAAGAGACGGACGGATGGACAGATGGATGGATAGACAGACGGACGGATGGATAGACAGATAAACAGATGGGCGGACGGACGGATGGATGGATGGATGGATAGACAGATGGATGGATGGAGAGAGAGAGATGGTAGACAAACAGACGGATGGACAGATGGATGGACAGACGGATGGATGAATAGACAACAGACGGACAGACGGATGAATAGACAGATAAACAGATGAGCGGATGGACAGATGGATGGACGGATGGACAGAGGGATGGATGGAGAGAGAGAGATTGTAGACAGACGGATGGACAGATGGATACACAAACAGATGGATGGACAGAAGGATGGATGGATGGACAGACAGACAGATAGATAAATAAATGGACAGAGAGATAGATATATAGAGAGATAGATAGATATAGATAGATAGATAATGGAGAGATAGATAGAGAGATTTGTTGATATGGAGAAAGGATATGATAAAGTGAATGCAAGTGGTCCTCAGCTTATGACCACACCTGAGCCCACAATTTATGTCGCTAAGCGAGACATGTTTAAAGTGAGTTTTACCCCATTTTATAACCTCTCCCACAGATGTTAAGTGAATTGCTGCATCTGCTAAATTAGTAACACGGCTGTTACGTGAATCTGACTTCCCCACTGACTTTGCTTGTTAGAAGGTCGCAAAGGGGGGGGTCACGTGACCCATCCAAGAATATAAGAACAGAAAAGGACGGAAGTTAAAATATGTGTAAGCATAGACAGAATTCTTAGCGGACGATTCGATTTCAATTTCCTGACAGTGAGAACAATTAACCAGTGGAACTACCTGCCTCCAGAAGTTGTGAATGCTCCAACACTGGAAGTTTTTAAGAAGAGACTGGACAGCCAGTGGTCTGAAATGGGTATAGTGTTTCCTGCCTGAGCGGGGGGGGGTGGACTAGATGACCTCCAAGGTCCCTTCCAACCCAATTATTCTATGTTTTTGAATAAGTCTTCACCCTGTGTTCTTCAAATCTTCTGAAGGCAAGACAAGAAGTAACGGATGGAAACTAATCAAGGAGAGAAGCAACCTGGAACTAAAGGGGAATTTCCTGACAGTGAGAACAATCAATCAGTGGAACAGCTTGCCACCAGAAGTTGTGAATGCTCCATCACTGGAGGCTTTTAAGAAGAGACTTGACAGTCGCATGTCTGGAATGGTTTAGGGCAGTGGTTCTCAACCTGTGGGTCGGGACCCCGTTTGGGGTCGAATGACCATTTCACGGGGGTCGCCAAACCATGCTTTCCGCCATATTTTTTCCTTTTCCGTAGCTGTCCTACTCCCTCTTATTGGTGGCCACACCCACTTGGGGGTCACCACAACATGGGGAACTGTATTATGGGGTCACGGCATTAGAAAGGTTGAGAACCACTGGTTTAGGGTCTCCTGTTTGAACGGGGTTAGACTAGAAGATCTCCAAGGTCCCTTCCAGCTCTTTGTTATTCTGTATGAGGACTAGGGGTGACTCAATAGCAGTCTTTCAATATTTGAGGGGCAATCACAAAAAAGAGGGGGTCAAGCTATCCTCCAAAGCACCTGAGGGCAGGACGAGAAGCAACGGAAGGGAAGTAATCAAGGAGAGAAGCAACCCCGGAACTAAGGAGGAATTTCCTGACAGTGAGAACAATCAACCCGTGGAACTCCTTGCCACCAGAAGTTGTGGGTGCTCCAGCATTTGGAGGTTTTTAAGGAGAGACGGGACTGCCCTTCCTTTGAAATGGTCTCCTGCCTGAGCAGGGGGTTGGGCTAGAAGACCTCCAAGGTCCCTCCCAGATCTGTTGTTCTGTGACCCGTTGCCCTCTCCACCCATAGCATGGGGGTCCTCCCTTGCCAGAAGCAGCTTGGGGTGGGGTGGGGTGAGACCAGGCCTGGAAACGCTTCTAAGCCCTTTTCAGATGCCCCCCCCCCCGTCTCCCCACCCTCTTCCTGATCAGGGTGGAGGATTCAAAGCCGCTGTGTGTGTGTGTGTTTTTTTTCTCCCCTCTGGCTGCCAAAATGCACAAAGTCCAAAGCCAGCTTTGCTTCTCCTCTTTCTCCTCCTGTCCTCTGCTTCCAGCAAAACCTCCGTTAATCCATTCTAGAAGTTTCCAAGGAGAAAACTTTCTCCTCCCCCTTGTATAGCTGGTGGGGAGGGGGTGGGGGGGCTGCTTAATGGTCCCGCTGAGCTGTGCCGAGAAGCCTTCCTTGCTGCAAAGAGGCTGCTAACCACTTCCTGGGAGTACCTGGGGTGCCTAGGCTGAGAGGAACCTGTGAGTTACGAATTGTTTTCTGCTATGAGTTTAAGGTGAGCCTCTCACCCTCCTGCTTTGTCTTTAGCCAACTCTTAGATGTCGGGACGGCTCGGACGGAATCCGATCTCCTTTCCAAAACTGGAAGCTCGTTTTTTATTATTATTATTTGTTTGTTTACTTACCTGTATCCTGCTTATACTAATTTTTTTTTTCAAATTACTCAAGGTGGCAAATCTATACAACACACCTTCCTCCTCCGGCTTGAGAATGATTGGCTAACCAGGGTAACCGAGCTGGTTTTCGGGCCTAAGGCGGGACTAGAACTCACCGTCTCCCGGTGATTGGTTCAAAGTCACCCACTGGCCTTTCATGCCTAAGGCGGGACTAGAACTCACCGTCTGCTGGTGATTGGTTCAAAGTCACCCAGTTGGCTTTCATGCCTAAGGCAGGACTAGAACTCATAGTCTCCCGGTGATTGGTTCAAAGTCTCCCAGTTGGCTTTCATGCCTAAGGCGGGACTAGAACTCACCGTCTCCCAGTGATTGGTTCAAAGTCACCCAGCTGGCTTTCATGCCTAAGGCCGGACTAGAACTCACCGTCTCCCAGTGATTGGTTCAAAGTCACCCACTGGCCTGTCATGCCTAAGGCGGGACTAGAACTCACCGTCTCCTGGTGATTGGTTCAAAGTCACCCAGTTGGCTTTCATGCCTAAGGCAGGACTAGAACTCACCGTCTCCCGGTGATTGGCCCAAAGTCACCCAGCTGGCTTTCGTGCCTAAAGCGGGATTAGAACTCACCCCGTTTCCTCCCAGTTTTCCTCTTCCTTAAAAATGACCTTTCCCCCCCACCCTGAATGCCATTAAAGTCTCTGGACCCGCACCTTATCTTAGAGTGGGGGGTCTTCAAACTTTAAGAGGAGTGGACTTCAACTCCCAGAATTCCTCAGCCAGCGTGCCTGCCTGAGGAATTCTGGGAGTTGAAGTCCACAAGTCATACAAGGGCCAAGTTTCAGGACCCCGATATAGACTTTAAAGGAAGTGGACTTCAACTCCCAGAATTCCTCAGCCAGTGTGCCTGGCTGAGGAGTTCTGGGAGTTGAAGTCCACGAGTCACAAAAGGGCCAAGTTTGAAGACCCCCTGCCTTAGAGCATAGAATTGGAGAGCTATGGATTGTATCAAGTTATTCTTCTGTCCCAAACCTTTTGGACCCTTCCCAACAAATGTCCGTTAATTCATGCGCTGGGCAAAAGGGTGGGATCCTTGACCAGCATAACTGAGGCATGACTCAGCCCCTGTGGCCGGGTGTCAGAGGATGATGGGGCCAGTCTCTGTTATCATCCACCCCACAAACATATATGGGGAAGGAACCAGCTTTGCAGAACAAGAGCTCACCATGCTAGATGGAAAAACCCAAGACGGGGGGGGGGGGCTTGTTAGACTAAGCATGGCTTTTGCAAATGATGGTTACACACCATAAGCCATCAATCCTGGAGGCTGGCTTCGCCCTGCACACTAACAATCCCCCCCCCCCGCGCACCTGTGCCTGTAGTGAATCACCACTTTGCTTCCGAACAGGATGTGGTGATACGAAAAGTACCCTGGTTTTTCCTTCCTCTGACTTTGACTTCTGGGCAACCAATGCATGCAAAGCAGAGCTCCAGATGTGTGTGTGTGGGGGGTAGCTTTGCCCCCCCCGAGACACCGACCCAGGGGAGACATCAGTGGGGGGGGCCACAAGCAGATCCCAACCGAGAAGGAATTGAACCCATCATGGTCCCTGCCAGACTTGGGAGGGGGCCTTGGAGGTCATCTAGTCCAACCCCCTGCTCCATCAGAAAACTCTACCCCGTTTCAGGCCAACGCTTGTCCAGGCTCTTTTGAAAAGCCTCCAGGGATGGAGCACCCACAACGTCTGGTGGCAGGTTGTTCCACTGGTTCATTGTTTTCCCATTCAGGAAATTTCTCCTTAGTTCCAGGTTGCTCCTCTCCTTGATTCGCTCCCATCCGTGGCTTCTTGTCCAGCTTTGGGGTGCCTTGGGGAAAAAGCGGACCCCCATGATCGCCTTTATTGACCCCTTCTTCTCTTGCGACAGCCCCTGAGATATTGGAAGACGATCACTTTCCCCTGGTTCTTCTCGTCGTTAGACTAGACCAGGGGTCTCCAAAT